GATGATGATGATGATGATGATGATGATGATGATGATGATGATGATGATGATGAAGAAGTAAGGAGTAGGGGACGTGAGTGACAAAGAGGAGACAAGACAAAGAATGAACAGGAACAAGTATGAATGGGGAATTAAGAGAGGATATAGAAAAAGAGAAAGTATAGGAGGGTCGGGAAGATGATTATTTGGAAAGGAAGAGGATGATATTGATGACGATTCATGAGGCAGAAAAAAAAATACCTGTAGACAAATAATGTGCATCTGTCAGCTTTTATTTTGTCTTCGCCATTCACCTTAGTTTCTTTAGCACAGCCCGTTCCTATTTCCTCCTTCCTCTATGCCTCCACCTCCCAGCTCAAAACAAAACTCCTCTATGTCCTCCATCCCACTTGATATGCTTGTTAAAATCCTTTGGAGAAAAAATCCCAACCCTTCTCAGAATGGTGCTCCAAGTATGGTGAACATCAGAGCTGAGACAAACAGCGGTCTCCCAAAGGATACAACAGTTATGGCAGAGGTGAGTTGGTGTAATTGTTTTTCTTCTTGCTTTCTTGTTCGAGTGTTGTCTATTCTTTCTTTCTCTATGTCCACTCGTTGGCGTACTTCAGTCTAGACTGTTTTAGCAGTTTATTTTTATGAGTACTGGATCTGTTACTTGAGGGGGGGGTTAAAGCTGCGTTTCAATCTAGACTGCTTCTGGCAGTTTGTTGTTATGAGCTTTGGATCTGTTACTATCTTTTCAAGTGGCATTTCAAATACGATTCGGGATGTATAATTGTTGGAGCCTCTTCGAGTCCCAGCTTATACAAAGCAGAATCAGGTGAAACTGGACGAGGGGTAATGCATGTACCAACCAAAAGATCCCCTCTATGGAGAACTATAATACATCTTGGGGGGGGGGGCTACCTCTTCAATGATACAAATGTATCCGGAAGATGAACATTAATTCAACTGAGAATAACTTTAACTACTGGGAAAAGGCGCAAACAGTCGCAACCACAAATTAGTGGGAGCTGTATGTTAGTCCCAAGATGAAAGAGGAAGACTGAGCAGGGAATACTTAGTCGAAACATTAAAAGAGAAACAAACTGACACGGCAAACGCCACTTAAACCCATCCTTTCAGTGTGCCCTCTACAACCGCCTTTTTCTGAAACACATCTTCTTGGGTCTCCATGGCATACAATGTAAAACAATACAGTACATTCGCACTATCGCCAGTATCGCCAGTTTTAAAGGAAAAGTGCCTACTATTCATCATTCCCTGAGCTGATTGACTTGAGATCGAAATACGAATGTTCAAATAAATGGCATGCCATGTTTCATCCAGGTGATCACAGACTACAACGTCGACTCAGAGGCAACGACACCGACCTACGAGACTAGCCATCAAATGCTCTTCTTGGAGAACGGAATAGAGCTCCAAATCAATATCAAATCGACTTCAGGGGTAAGTGGCTTGGTGGGTCTATGGCAATCCTAGATAAACGTTACAGATAAATGCTGCCTCCAAGAAGCGGACAGTGTTGTATAACCAAATACAGCTTTCTAGGAGGTTTTTGTTTTGCTTGTTTGTTCGTTGTTTTTCTATGGGGGGTTGCATTTGTTTTTTGTTGTTGTTTCTTGTTTTGTTTCTTTTCTTTTTCTTTTCTTACATTTGCTAAGGTCTGACTTTCATTAATTTCTTGCTGTTTCTTGTGTGGGGGGGGGTAGATGGGGTTTTTTCGTTTTGCATCTCGCTAGACGTCAGTAAAGATTGTACACTTGATGAGCCATCCATACAAAAGCATCCCCCACTCTATACGTACTTTGGTAAAGTGTACGCATGGACAAACTACGGTCCACGGGCTACACAGTTTGGCTATCTTGTGGGCCTAGTGATTAATAATGAATGTGGCTCGCGCTGAGTTGATAATTAATCCTAACAAAATTGATCGTCTTTTTTAATTAAAAATCAGATGTTTCTAACTTTTCATCTCAGCAAATAACTGATTGACGTATGCTATAGTGTCAGTTTTAGTCCCACTTTGAGAGCTTGGATATATCAACCGAGTTCATCGACTTTTCTCCTGCTTTGAACACCGAGATATTCGGAATCCCTTTGTCTGGCCAGCAAGATATCTGGAATCGTCAATCAGGCCCACGAGATATTCGGAATCGATTAATTTGGCCTGCAATATGGACAGGCTTGCCATGCCTTGCATAATATCACCACGGGTGCATGTAAGGCGGTTTTGTATCGTTTATCAAATAAAGAGGTGACCCATCATATAAAGCAATCTTTGTTTCAACATTTTGTCTAACGCATAGACTCGAATTGTAATATCCTAAACCGAACACTATCATGGCCGCCGCTCTTTGCTTTCTATTGAAACTTTTCTGGGATGGTGTGCACGCAAATAAAGGACAAAGCATCAGTCTTGCCACAGACTAGTACATGCGCAACCTTTTCCTCCTTGTCTTTTATTTGCTTATGATTAGAATTATAACAAATAAATAAATAAATGATGCTCTCCATGGTGAACCGAAAGTACGTCAGACAGCAAAGTCTTGGATATTATAATACAAATCTATGGTGGAACGCCGGCTCGCGGTGAGAAAGGCAATGATGATGATGATTTCGCCAACAAATCCCGAGCCTTTCCCCCTTACCATGCAATCCACGCCTGTTGTGCAATACTTAGGCTATTCCCTTTGTAAGCAAAGGGTGCAAGTTTGATTCCCACACGGGGACTCTGGTGTATTTCCCTATGCAATATTCTAATGTCTTGTATCCCAGAACGCCAGTATGACCACACTGCGAGTGGAGATTCCTCCCGGCTACGACGTAGACCTGGAACTCCTGGAGTACAACCGGTACCTTAGTAAATTTGATATGGACTACAAAAACGGGCAAGATCTCATCATATATTTCGACACAAACGTGGTAAATGTTCTACGTTTTTCTTTCAGTACTCCATGCCAAAGATCTTCTTTATTCTTTTGTCTGTCTGCCTGTCTGCCTGCCTATCTGTCTGTCTGTCTGTCTGTCTGTCTATCTATCTCTCTCTCTCTCTCTCTCTCTCTCTCTCTCTCTCTCTGTCTCTCTTTGTCTCTCTGTCTCTATCTGTCTCTCTCTCTGTCTCTCTCTTTCTCTCTTTCTCTCTCTCTCTCTCTCTCTCTCTCTCTCTCTCT